ACAAAAACTATTGGCCAATATCTTTGTTTTGTCAGCTATTTAAAATACTTTTGCACAAGAGACGATGATATGATTTCACCGATATTAGAAAAAAAAACTCAAATTATAAGACGAAAGTGGCTATAGATAAGGAAGATCGCGTACTTTACAAATACTAAATCTTACTCAAGAGAGCAAAGACGGGTACGAAAAATATCGAGTATCAGGGGTGGTATTTTTCATCAGGATATTTCTCCAAAAACTATATGATATCCCCGTAGATAACAAACGACAAAATTATCTGTGTATGCCTACACAATAGAATATTTTTCGTATCACTCGATGGTAAGAATAGCAGATGAAGAACGGTCTCGCTTGGGATAGCAAAAAGACACTTACATTGTATAAACAAACGATTAACCCATACCTATAGATACTAGGACTTCTAATATACAGACGATACACCTATTATTGCACAATAAAAATAATCTATGAATCAATTTTCAGCCAAAACGCCTGAAAAACTCATATGTGCTCCTTCAATTTCCCTAACACAAACGCTTTCGTAAAACTAAACCTCCAATAATGTCATGAAATCGTTGAACTGTAGACTATCTATAAATTCTTTGAAAGTAGCTTGTATTGCACGTGATTATTCACAGATCATTGTTTAAAACTAAAAGGTAAATTGAGGTCAGAAATAATATTTGTCAGCTAAAAATGAGGCGAACGTCTTTTCGCCCTACAAATTAACCATTATTTCTTTTTGTGCACACTACTACACATTTTAACACAAAAATATCTATTATATATCTATATCACTTAACCATATTCATATTCTATCAAGATATCATATTATGTAGTACAAATAAGACCAAAACTAAAATAATAAAAAAACTTTATACAAGATATCGCAGAACATTGGATGAAATAAAAACAGTTTTTATTATTGGGATGCTTCTATAAAACGTACAAAGACAAAGTCACGTAAAAAAAATATAAATAGTACGAAACTTCTACAATTAAAAAAACGTAGACTTCAACATTGAACTAATAAAGCTATATTTAGTAAAAAAATAACAATTTTAAAAATGCAGAGAAAATAAAATTTTCTATGCAAGTGACCATTCCATTAAATAATAAGCCCAAGTCCTTTTGTATCTATATACCTGTTTTTTAAATAACCTGTACCTTGTACCTATTAGCACGTAGTAATACCCGGTAATAAGATATCCTTGATTACACAGTGTAATGCGTATGGCATTACACGGCCTACAAAAAGTAGATAAAAATAAGGAGCTCATATAAACCGTTCAGGGTAAACTTTGAAAATATACGCTATAATCGCACGGTTGCCAAACTCTCAGAGCTTACTTAAACCGATAAACTAATTGTTCAAATATACAGTGAAAAAGACCCGAACGACCCCTATAATATATACACGTGAACTACACGATATACATTTATGATACAGGGGTATTTATGGGCTCCAAAATTTTTTTTTAAATTATGAACCTCTGTATGTTAACGAATTGACAGAACCAATATTAGGGAATGGTCAAGTGAGCTCCGTATATCGGTGTCCACTTGACCACGGAGCTCACTTAAACCTGAATTTTAACATGGGCGGACTCCACTTTATGCCGTAAATATATATATATATATATATATATATATATATATATATATATATATATATATATACATATATATATATATATATATATATATATATATATATATATATATATATATATATATATATATTTGTCTCCTAGGCCATATAGTTGGCCATTTGATATATATATATATATATATATATATATATATATATATAAATCTGTTTTGGATGGGTTGAATGCCAACCTAGGCATTCTACCTATAAAATTAGGAACCGCAAAACTCCAAAAATCTAGTCATACATTTGTACATTTTTATAATTTAAAACCACTTGTAACTGAATATGACAACCTGAACAAGCAATTTGAGTATCTTAAAAATAACATTTCTAACAGCGAATTCTTTAAATCAGAGACGTACAACTATGTTAATATTATTCAATATATCAAAAATAGCATACAAGAAAAATTTAGCGGTCTAAATATTCATATTAATTTAACAAGAAGGAAAAGAGGCTTGATTAATGGCTTTGGTTCAATAGTAAAAGCAATCACAGGAAATTTAGACGCCGAAGATGGCGAGAAAATAAATTTAATACTAGAACATTTGAAAACTAATCAACAAAAATTAGAACATCAGATACTTAATCAATATTCCCTCAGTCAACAAATCATAGATAACTTCAATAAAACCATTCAAGATATTCAAACAAATGAAATAATTCTTAAAACAAAGATTTTTGAGATAAAAGATATTGTCGATTTTCAAACCAAAATTGAGAACGTTATTTATCTAAAAGACATGTTCAATGAACTCATTATCACATATAATTCTATACTTGATGTAATGGAGACTGTAGAAAATTCTATTACTTTTTGTAAGCTCAAAACCATACACCCTAGTATTATTAAATCTAGTGACCTATTTCGAGAATTACAAAGAATCTCTTTATTTTACAAAACACAATTACCATTTGAATTAAAACACGAAAATATTTTAGATTTTGAATCCATTCTGGAAATCACCTGTAAAATAGAGGAAAACCAAATTCAATATTTTCTGACAATTCCTATCGATTTTGAGAGCATCTTTGATCTTTATTATTTATTACCTATACCCACACAAATTGAGTCAGAATTTGCAATAATAATACCTAATACAAGATATTTGTTAAAAAATAAAAATACAATAATACCTCTCAACGACATCTGCACTCACGGTAAAATTTTCCAATGTCCAAGCCGTCTACAAAATAACCAAGAACACCTATGCGAAAAGGAAATAATCTTACGAGAAAACTCCAGTAATTGTCAATATATTAAGGCAGACATCCAAGGCAATCACATCGAAATCATACCAGAGATGAACCAGTTTTTAGCAATATTTCCTATGGAGGAAAAATTAACTTTTAAATGCTCTGAAGGAACTCAAATTCAAACACTGACAGGCATCTTTCTGATCGAAAATACACAGTGTACAATCCTTTTCAGAAACCAAGAATTGTTGTTCCAAGATCGAACCTTTGGACAACCAATTTTAATCACCGAGCCAAAATTAAAATTCAAAGAATTAAGCATTTCACCTATGAAAATAACTTTGAAGAATTTAAAATTTGAAAAAAATCCCACAAACAGAATCACACCCATCATGGAAGAAAGAGAAAATTACCACATTCCCAGCATATGGACCATTATATTATATCTTGCAATCATTCTAATAATCATCTACATTACCTATAAGAAAATAACGATAAAAAAGAGAAAAGAAACCAAAAGAAAGGAAGACATAAGAATGTCAAACATACAGGACCCAGACGATTCCAATTCAAAAATTCACCTCCCAGAAGGAGCCTCGATTTAGGGGAAGAGGAGTTATAGAGCGACGCCTATGGATTCATTCGTGCCATGGACTTAAGACTGCTGACATGGTTAAAGCATTGAACTCTAGAGTGCTGACGCTATATTTGCATAATATTGTGAATTGTATAATTGCAATTGTATATGTGTTATTTTAATTAATATTTTATTCAGTTTAGAATCTGATTTTATTGTAATTAGTCGTTTAGCTCTTAATAAATTCTTTTTTAAAAAAGGACTTTTGGCATTCCCAAATTTGAGTTATATATATAAATAAATAAATCTGTTTTGGATGGGTTGGAGTTAATGAAAGTCAATAAATACCTTTTATTGACTCCAACCCATCCAAAACAATTTTATATTTTTTCCAAACGAATATATATATATATATATATATATATATATATATATTATCTTAATGTTTATATTATTACTCAAATATTTCTTTATTTTCAACTTATTTCATACACGCCAGGGAGGGTAAGCAAGTAATTTGACAAGAACTGTATTTTGTATCGTTTTTACACATTTGTGGATTTACGATAATTCCATAATTAACGAGCTTATATCAACTCATAATATTTCATTAATAAAATATCTTTGGAGGTGGAACCATCACATCAAACTTTACAATCCAAGTAAGAATGCTAAAATTGATGCCACTATAAGTATATATCCCAAGTATATGTATTATAGATATATTTATTCTAGACGTTGGTAAATTTTCAATCATCTGGTTCATTAAATAATTTGCACACAGTTTTAGTACTTCATAACCGGTTCATAACTTTTTACTTCATATAAAATTGGACGGTTTGATGTTGTAAGCTCCAACTTATATCTGGAATCATTGATCACAAACACAGTGACACTCTAGAGGTAACCAAAGTATAGAAAGATATTTCAAAAACCCTAAAAAGAAATTGGTCAACTCCTTAATACTTCCAGTACTGATATATGGATGCGAATCTTGGCCACTAAGACAATCAGAAAGAAGAAAAATAGACCCCACTGAAATGTCCTGCTGGAGAAGAATGTTGCGAATTGCATGGACTGACCATAGAACAATTCTAAGATAACTAATGATGGGTAAGAGACTATCCGGAAAAATTCAACTGCAATAATAAAATATGTTGGCCATGTCATGAGGTCAGACATAACCAAAATGGAGAAACTCATCAGTCAAGGGAAGGATTGGTGAAACCTATCTGCGCTAATTGATCGCTTCATTAAAAAGTAATAAAGATTTTTTAATAGATGCCTCAGTCATCTCCTAATGACTGCAAAATTTCTATGAACCAATATTAAAAAAAGTACTGCTCACTACGTCCAGATGAGTAAAACGATTTTGTGAGAAGTTCTGGCGTACCAGATCACCTAGAACTCGACAACATGAAAACAGCCCCCAGGGCTCAATCCTCTTAATACCATAGGAGTGAGAACTGAGTATGACTTAAATTTGGTATTAATAAAATTGTATTAAATGGAAAAGTGAAACCCAGTTTAAAACTAACATTTTATTAACCTTGTATTTTATATTTTTAGACTGAAGAAACTCGCGAAGTCTCTCATTGGCAATTCACCTCGTGGCCAGATTACGGAGTTCCTCATTCTGCAAAAGCCATGTTAGAATTTCTTGAAAGAGTAAGGAGGAAACAAGCCAGTATGGTAGTTGAATTAGGTGATACATGGGCCGGTCACCCTAGGGGACCACCGATAGTTGTGCATTGCAGTGCTGGCATTGGTAGAACAGGTAAATAAAAATAGTTGGGTATTTTAGAGAGCGTGAATAATAATTTTAACAATATCAACATATTAATCAATCAAATTAAGTTAAATAAATTTGCATAAATGAAAAATATCTGCTTTACAATACAGTATATGTTTCTTCTAATTCTTGGTCGTGGAGGTTTGTAGGCCATGAAATTTTTTGTTCCAGACGTTTCATTTGAAGCTGCGGCATACATAAAGTCGAAGCGAAATAAAATTTGTTATGTGAGTAGAACGGTATCCAATTGAAGACACTTTGACCTTTGACCTCTGACGTCACAAGCCCCGTCTACATTCGTTTTCACTACACGCTCAAGCCTCTCCTGTTAAAACCTATTCAAAACTTGATCAAGACCTGATCAAGACCTGTTCGAGACCTGATCAAGACCTGTTCAAGACCTGTTCGAGACGTGATCTACAGCTCTTCAAAGATTGATCGTGTACCTACATTTTACGATGAATAAAGATTTGAAAAGACAGCTTATAACAAATCGGAGAGACATCCTAAATAGACAATTCAAACAAGGACAAATAATTCCAGAAGATTTATTCATCGTAAAATGTAGGTATGCAATCAATCTTTGAACAGCTTTAGATCAGGTCTCGAACAGGTCTTAATCAAGTTTTGAACAGGAGCGGCTTGAGCGTGGAGTGGAAACGAATGTAGACGGGGATTGTGACGTCAGAGGTCAAAGTGTCTTGAAGTGCACACCCTTCTACTTGTGTATTCTACAATTATTGAATTTTTGAAAGTATCAATGTGACAATTCCTCTTATGTATTCGGGGAACGAGTATTTACTACACTATGATAAGAGGGATTTTACCACACTACAGGAAATGTCGTAAATTCTTGGAATTAATTGATCCAATATTTTGGTCCATAATTTTGCCGTTTCGGTTTGTAACATTTTTAGTATGGTATACGGTAAGAATGCCTTACCTTTTGGTTCTTATTCTTGGTCGATATTATAGATTGATTTATGCCTCGTTGAAGCATAATTGTTGTGTCACAATGCTTTTTATAGATGTTTCAATTCGTTCGCTAAATATTTAGTTTTATTTATACACGTAACATGATCTACTTTTCTGCTTAGCTTGGTAGGAAAACATCTAAAAATGAAATATATTTGTTGTTCTAAATTTCCATGGTTCTTAAGAGTTTATTCATAAAATTTAAGCAATTTGTAATTCACCTACCTTAAATGGTTTCTCAAGGTTCCAGGTTACAGATGTATCATTTATATACATATGTAATTTGCAGATGTATAGAATGTAAGCAGACTGGTTCTTTAACTCCTTATTGTAGAAGTTCCGATATAACTTCTTGTTCGAAGTTTGCATAAAAAAAATCCACTTTATTAACGGGATTAACAGATTTCCCATTGTCATCCCATCAGCCCCACTGGAAGTATGTTGGGATAAGATAGTGATGAAAAAAGTTAGAAAATACTTTCTAGGAACTACTGACTAAAGTGTTCTACTATTTTAATAAATCGTAACAACTATCGCTACAGTATACATTCCTTATGCCTTTCTTACGTACTTAATTTTGATAGGATCATCATTTACTTTATCTTTTACAGATATTGTGATATATTTGATGATTTAAATTTCTTTAAATTTAAATTGCTTGATTCTAGCTAGAAGGAACTAGATTAGATTATGTGAGGTCGTTAACGCCATGCGGCCTCACCGCACTTCGACCTATAGAGATCTTTTGTGCATACGTTAATCTAGTTAAACTCTAGAATGCCAATACTTCTGATGAAGTTGATTAGCTTCCTAGGTGACTTGTTTCCTATGTCAGAGGACGCCAGACTGGCCTCTTCTAGGAATTTTAGTCGTTTGTAGAACAGCGCTACGCAGTTGCTTAGTATATGTTCTGCCGTTTCTTTTTCATTGTGACAGAAACGACAGTTCTCACTATCTGATTTGCCCATCTTCTTGAGATGATATCTCAGAGGACAGTGACCCGTGAGAAGGCCAGTGACCATTTTGATATCTTTTTTACTCATTTCGAGAAGGCGGTTTGTTGCAGTAGGAGGCACTTTTATTAGCCTTTTTGCTTGCCTTTGTCCTGGTGTGTTAGACCAATATGATCTCAGTTGATTGAGTTCCCAGGTACGGAGTTCCTCTATGATGTGGTTTTTCGATTGTCCACAGAAGGGTTCCGAATCCTGAAATGGGGTATTAGCTCCTTCTTTTGCGAGGCTGTCAGCTTCCTCATTTCCTGCAATTCCCTTGTGACCTGGCACCCATATCACAGTTACATTGTTTCGTTCCGCCAACTTCTTGAGAGATTGTTTACAGTCCCAAACCAACTTTAACTCACATGTAAATGACTTTAGAGCCTTTAAGGCGGCTTGGCTGACTGATAAAATAAAGACTTTTGCCCTACGGATGTGTCGGTTGAGACATTCTTGCGTTTCCAAGAGATTTAGATTGGCCTGAAATTGGGCCCAGTAACTCCCACTCCTGCCCTTTCATCTATCTTAGATCCATCCGAATACCATACGAGTCAACCTTCTTCCACTTTTGGTTCAATTTCTTCACCCATTTGGTGGTTTTTTATGACCACATCAAAGGGTGTTTCAAAGTCGAATTTGACTGACATAGCATCTGTCGGCATGTCCTTAGAATCAAATGGAATTTCTTCTAAGCTTTTCAGGTGGCCAACTAGATCTCCAGGTTTCATTAGTTGTGTCTGTCGCAGTTTTAAGGCGGTAGTTACTGCCTCACTCCTTATGCAGAACTGCAAGGGAGAAAGGTTCAGCATCGCCTCTAGAGCTGCAGTGGGACATGTTGACATTGCCCCTGTGATTCCCATACAAGCTAGCCGCTGCACTTTTTGCAGCTTGACCTTAGCTGTTGTTTGTTGTGTTTTTGGCCAGCATACGAATGATGCGTATATGACCATGGGCCTAATTATTGTTTTATATGACCAGACAGTCATGTTCGGTTGTAGGTCCCAAGTCTTTCCAAACGTCTTGCGACAGGTCCAACTTGCCACCAAAGCTCTGTATATAATTTTTTCAATATGACTATTCCAGGTGAGTTTTTGATCTAGAGTTACCCCCAGATATTTTACTTCTCTGTAATAGTCTAATGTGATGCCATTCATAGTTGGAGCCCGTAAATTGTATTTACGTCTCCTTGTGAAAGGTATCAAAGTCGTTTTAATGGGGTTGACACTTAAGCCCTCTTTCGAGCACCAACTTTTAATTTCGTTAAGAGCAGTTTGCATGAGACTAGATATAGTCTGGTCATGCTTGCCCCTAATTGTAACAACTAGGTCATCTGCGTAACCTAAAACCAGAATCATTTAACTTAGTGAGAAGGTCCATTACAACCAAAGACCACAGCAGAGGCGATAATACTCCCCCTTGAGGGCACCCCGTTGCCGCTGTCACAGTCACAGATTCTTCTCCAATACTAGCAGTGATGATTCTCGTTTTTAGCATTGACTGAATCCATTGTATTAGTGAGACTTCAATGCTCCTCTTTACTAGTGCTCTTTTTATGGATTCAAATGAGGCATTATCGAATGCTCCCTCTATTTCAATGAAAGCGCAAAGAGCTATTTCTTTTGCCACTATTGTCTTTTCAATTCTTTCGACTAGCGAATTCAGAGCATTTATAGTGAATTTGCCAGTCTGGTAGACAAACTGATGTTTGTGAAGTGGTTTCCTCGCTAAAGTTTCGCTTCTTATGTAGTAATCTACTAGTTTCTCCATTGTTTTTAGGGGAAAGGAGGTCAGGCATATAGGACAATAAGACTTCGCTTCGTCCGTAGGACGTTTCTCCCCTTTGGTATAAATACCACCTTTGCATCCCTCCAAGTTTTTGGAATGTGACCTAACACAAGGCTTGCTATGAAAAGCCGCTGTAGTTGAGGCTGTATTTGCATGAAGCTTTTTTGGAGTAAAGCAGGAACTATTCCGTCCTTAGGGGATTAAAAAGGTTTAAAACTTTTAACGGCCCATTCGATTTTTAGATTAGAAGGAACTAATTATGAGGGTAATATTTCTGTAGGCTTCTGTATGTTCTAAATATACAGAGTTTAATAACACAGTAATGGTTCTTTAATATATTCAATGGAGTGTTTTTCTGTTAGTGTACTGCAAAAAATTAACGCTCTACCTTAAATAATGTACCATATTTTTGAAGCTATTTTTCTTCTGAACGGATAATTGGATGTCGATGACTTTTTCTCACATAGATCGATTTTCAATAATTCACAGTATTAATGTTTTTTTTGGAAAATATCAACGTTTTACTTGTATAAGGGGAGTAAAATTAAAGTTGGGGTTTTTCATCTTATTTTATAACACCCTGTGGAATTTATTAGAAAGAAACGATACATCTACTCAAGATTTTCGTAAAAAAATTATCTCAATATCTCGCTATGAGAAAACGTCCTTCTTAAACGTAGCAGTATAATCACACAGTGGACATTTATGTTAAACTTTTTGAATTTCTGACATATTTGAGTGAACTTTTTTCACTCAAATGTTTAAAAATGCCAAAGTTTAAATTTGGTTTATAACTAAATTGTTTATCACATTTTGTACACTTATAGATGTTGCCTTTTAGAACTTTTAAAGGCGCAATTATGTCAAATTAGTCGGGATGAGAAATTGTTACATGTCGTCTCAGTTCACTTAAACGATTATAAACTTTTCCGTATTCCACACACTTATTAACGCTTTACGCACCGAACATTTTCGTTGTCAACAAAATAAAATGTTTAAAAAGAAAACACAAAACTGTGAACGATAGAAATAATCCGAAAATTTATTAGTGTAGTCTTTAATAAACAAGACAAGAAAACACTAGGTTGTCACGTCACTAAGACGTCATGCGTAAGTCTGTCAGTAATTTCCCCGATTCAAATTCATAACTCACATTACGCGACTCAGAGTAGTGGGACAGGCTCTAGACATAAGTGTGAAATTATAAGGTTGGAAGTTTCTTTTGTTAGAATTTTAATAATAGACGACTGACTTACTGTTGCTGCTGATAGTTGACTTGAACTAACTTTAGGATTTTCAATTGCTTGAACCAAAAGTTCAACTTTTTGAATAGTTGTGATTTGTTGAATAAACTATTTGAAATTTCTCCCTCAGCACCTTAAGTATTTTAGTGGTTGAAATTATCAATTTTGAACAAGAGTAACAATATTACGAAAAAATAATATTTACTTCTTATTACTTATCAAACTCACTAAAATTATTGTCAAACAAGTTATGTCTCTTGTGCCGATTTTGACAAAAATTTATAAATGTACAGGGAATTTAGTAACAAAAAACGAAATTGAAAAATCCATTTTAACACAATCTAAGTTATTCCACAATAAAATTTGATTGAGTAATATTTGGACCAAAAGCCATATTTTGATCTAAATAAACGAACCCCAGTTTATGTTGAAATAGTTATGACTCACTCTGTATACGTATATTTAATAGGTTTTGTGCTACATTAGTATGGACTTCACAGTTCTTATGGAATCGTGTCGTTTTCTGTCTGTACGGTAACTCTTCAACGAAAAATCTCGTTCTGAAAACTTGGTACGGGTTCCTTATTTATATAAGGAAGAACATTATTGAATTTAAGGTCAGTATGCCTTCTTCTTCTCATAATCTGGCCTTTTGTTTTTCTTGTGGAAAAAGTCTTGAACCTTAGTAATAGATTCCTCCGGCTTTAAGGAAGAACTATATTGAATTTGCGTTTAATAGGTATTATTATATTCTTATATTATGTTCAATAATTATAACGCGTTCTTCGATAATCATGTGTATTTATTTGTATTAATATTTAGTCTAGAAAATTACCTAAAAATCCTAATGTATATATTTTTGTCATAGGTACTTTCTGCACACTGGACATATGCATCTCCAGACTAGAAGACGTAGGCACAGCCGATATTCGAGGTACAGTTGAGAGAATTAGGTCACAACGAGCGTATTCCATCCAAATGCCTGATCAGTACATATTTTGTCATTTGGCTCTTATAGAATATGCCCTAATGAAGAGTCATCTGCAAACCGCCGATCTTACCGGTTTCGATCAGGCCGTTGAAGAAGATTCTGATTAAAAGAGAGTCGCTGTCTTTGAGCGAAGAGAAAATATAGGTGTAAATTTTTAATAATTTTTTAATGAACGGTTTACCTAGTTGCTTTTCGATGGTTTCCTATGGAAGCGCTATGAACAGAGTTTGTTTTTTGTAGGAAGAATGAACGAAAATAATTGTTTTGGTTTTGTTACTAGACGAGCTGAGCATGTTTTAAACTGTAAATCTGGGATTTCTGTTTGTTAGCAATTGCAGAAAAATATCAGTCATTTAGATTAAATATCGAATTATGTATTGTATATTTGTTCCATTTTATTTATTTATTAATAGTTTCACTTATTATAACTTTCAAATAAAAACAACAAATTTATTATTAGGCATTTCATTTTATTTTTCCAGTCGATGATTGAACTTGGTACTAGATTTATATCACCCTTCACTTATATCCAACGAATAATATCTTATTTACAGCCATTTCTATCAAAGAAATTAAAACACAAGTTGAAAACTGAAATTTAATTACTTATAATAGTCCTGTGGTAGTTATGACGTATAAAGCACTATTACAGTAAAAGTTTGCTGTTAATTTCTTCCTCTTCTAGTGAGAGCTGGTAACCCATAACGGGGAGATATTAAAGTGACATTCAAAATAAATACAACTAGCAACTGATCTGTTCGGTACAATGTAATCTTAGCCTCGCCACACCTATCCAAAGCCTTCCCGTGTTAAGCCCATATTAGTATCTTATGCGATTGTTGGACTTATCTAATAGGCTGTGTGTCCGATTTGGCAAGATTTTCAAAAGTATGTTTTCTATTTGATATTTGATATTTTTTTACTTAGTTAGTAATTATGTATTATCAATATTACTTACTGGCTCTGTAGCATGTTTATAAAAGAACTCTCACGAACCAGTGTTCGGTTAATTGGCTGTACAATTCATAAAGTTAAATAGTATTTCGTTACACCTTCAATGAAATCTGAAAGGACAAAAAAAGCGCTATCTGCGTCTCACATGCCTTTTTCATATGTACCTGGTGCTGTAACAGTGTAGAAGAAGAAAAAGTATCATCTGATAAATGGTACAACAAGTTCTAAAATCTGGCGAATTTTGTAACTAAAAGAGTTCCTTCCGTCAAATTGTTCGTTTTGTGTTTGTTTGCTCTGTTGTCGTTTTTTAAACTTGAAAAAGAAATCAAAAGTGCCTTCTCGGGATCACAGCACTCGACCATTTTTAAACCAATATTGCACTCGACTATGTATTAAACTGTACATACAATTTGGATAGGTAAGACACCTAATTAGATATTTTCAAAAGGTCAAATCAAAATCAAAAGGTTCATTCAAAATATATTTAGTACAAACACATTGCATTTCTTTAAAGGCAGTTTTTTTTAATTTCTCACCCGCTCTTTCTTATCTAATTTTTTGAGACTACTTATGCTGTTGTGCTCAGAAATAATATATATGTATGATATCTTTATTTTACGTGATATAGGCAGATGATCTTAATATTTGTCCACTCGGTAACTGAGCAAGTTAACGTGTTCACTTCTTTTTTATTTAGTGTTGTGAGTATTTGGTTCGCTCTTTAATCCACCCAGAATTTTTTAAAGGTCTTAATATAAAATTCTAAGATGGATCTGCGGCTTTGAATTTTAAGTCTTTAGTGAATAGAGTCACCCAATGGATAAGTACGATGGGAGATTGGGTCACGTTCTAATGGACGTTTATTAATTGATTCAAGTAGAAATCGTTAGACGCTATAAAACCCTAAAATGTATGTAGTGTTAAATTTCCAATGGGAACCACAAAAAAGAAGAAGAACCACGCTTTAGGAGAAAGAAGAGATTTATCCACTACAGAAACAATTGGGCGGTTATAGTAACGATATTTACGCTGGTAATGACTTGGTGTGATAATGTTTTATAGAAATGCCACTGAGATTCTACAAGTAAGTAGTTTCATAACAAAATTTTTAATATTATTGGAAAATGAATGAATTAGGATATTTATTAATTAGAAATTTTATATTTATGCCGATAAGTTTTATAACTAATTTTCATAAAAAAAAATAAAAGAACTATAAATCAGCATAATTCTTTTATAGTATACTTTTCTAATTGTTAATTATAGAAATCCTGGAAATTATGGATAACTTGACATAAAAATGTTTTTTTTAATGAAGTATTCTAATAAATACCAAATTAAACCGAGATATATCTCGACGATGGGTACTACTTTTACATTTGGGTGTTTGAGTGTAAAAGAAGTTGGCAAATGATCGCAGTAAAAATAGATATCTTGGAAAAAACTAAATGATTTTGTGTCCATTTCTTAATTTTCGTGTAAAATGAGAGACAACATTTAATTATTCGGACAAAATTATTTAATTTTATAATTTGTGATTCATTTCTCAGCTCTTCTCAATCGACGATGGAAAAATTATACGCAGTCGATTGTAGTATCGCGGAAAAATAATTTATGGATAGCTCAAACAAGTACATTTAAAAGAAATTGGCGATGGTAACGTGGTAAGGCTCAAATTGGTATCGATCCCAATTTATAATCCATGCCAAACATGATCCACCAAGCAATGAAAAAAACGCGTCCTTTATTATTTAATAAGATCCCTTCTGTATAAAATTTATTGTTATGAATACAAAACCTATTTCAGTAGGTTGCAAGGTGCTATAACAAAAGTTGTGAATTGTGAAATTGCATTAATTAGTTTAATTGTAATTGAACAAGTTACTGAATTAATAAAATAAGTTAACAATACATTAAAGTCTATCACTACCATTAGCGAATAATTTATTCAATTTATTTATTCGCTGCCATTAGGGATAAGAAACAAACATATTGCAGAATATTGAGGCAACTAAATATTTAGACGATTTAACAAATTACTATTTTAATATGAGGTTTAGTTCGCTATACAAGTTGACAATTGAAAGTGCCGACACTGTGTCATAATTTACCCAATATCATTATCAAATATGTGACGATTGCTTAGGCATCATCAGTAAATTTTTGTTACATTTGATGTCACAATGCCTCAAACATTTTAGTAGTTTTAGGCGTAACTATGCTGTGATGTCACTTGCTACTGGCAACATCTTTGATATCTTTGTCTTCAAAAATAGGAGAAAAGAACTAGGGCTTCAAGTTCCAGTTATTTCATAAAATTTGATACAATACCAAGTATCCTCCCAAAACTATTTTTCAAGTATTTTTGAAACTACACCAACAATGAAATATTGTTGATGTAGAGTATTTCTTGTTGAAATTGTATACTTAACCCACATAAGTATCAACATATGTAATTTCTAATTATCTAACTACATCAGAATGTAAGCAGCATTTAGTTAAAATATAAAATATAAAAGTAATGTCCTGGTTCATTTGGGTACCAGACTATCGCTTTAAGTTTCTTGGTATTTTGACATACCGTCCTAGATCTAATAGTGGCATCTCGAAATCATAATGCCTTTCACACATTTTATTGTTATTTTGGAAAAATCAAAGGTTTTAAAAAATATATATATATACAATTTTTTTTAATAAAACGAACTATTCTCCTGTACATACAACTGCATTTTTGAACGAATTACAGTTTACAACTTTGAAGTTTATAAATATAGATCTCATACATTTCAATACAAATAGTTTCACATTTATTTATGAAATAAATATCTTCGGATAAAATAGGCATAAGTACCAATATAATGGTACTATAAATTTGAAATATAATTCAGAATATGTTGTATATCTTAACAGTGATATACTGACTAATTATTCATTCAGTCCTATAAAATTATACATTATTTTCCGAATTTGTAGATCCAGGTACGTGTTCTGTAATTATTTTTGTAACGTTTCGTATGCTACTGTGGCAGATATTTGTAAATGAAACTTGTTCAAACCGCCTTTTGCGAATTGAAGTTAGCAGAAGGTAGTAACCATTGTTGCCACGTCGTTTTTAAACGCCAGGAAGGAATAATTCTAGGCCCGTAGCCTACAAACCCCGACAACAGTTAAAACATTTATCTATAGAATCTTTTAGTATCTTTTTTTACAATTGAATTGAATTAAGAACTTTGATTCTTAATTTCACTTAAAGTGATTTTTTTATTTGTTTAGTGTTATTGCAAACATCTTCAAGTAGTATTATTGATAAAAAAAACAACCAGATATTAAGTAAGGCCTGAAACAAATAATGCATCATTAAAATATATTTTTATGTCAAAGATATATATTAAAGAAATAATTAGGTGAATGTGTTATTTATATTAAACTCTGTATGTCTCTTTTTCATAATTTTATTGTTTTAAAGATTTAATATATTTTATACTAGTGAAACTTTCAAACAAATATAAATACTTCAGAATCTCTTTAGCAGCGGCTCAATGAAATAACGTCAATTGCTTCATTACATAACGTAAAGTATATTTCAAAAATTTGCCTAATCGTAAAGTGTGAAAAGATTTCTTTATTGGTATCCACAAACATTCATTAAGTTTAAATTTTAAATTCCACAAAAATATTGAAATAAATTCTAAGAAATGAAACTAAATTAATAACTAGTTTATAAAATATAAAGAAACACTGGTTTAGTTCTAAGACAGGGGGCTTGTGAGTCTAGTCATCTTTTTGGGGTCATTCCAACCGTTTTACATGGCCTAGTTATCTGAGGTAATAAAAATAGTTAGGTTATTTGTATAATTAATACAATTCAGTTAAACCTTATTCTCCATCATTTTTTTTATTGTCCACTTTTCTGCCGCGTATCACTAGTCTCACTTATTCTGCCGCACTGGGATAATCAGGGTTTTATATATTTTAAATTTTGTATTTCTACTTATCTCTATTTGATCTCAGCCCATAATACCATCTTTTGGATACTAATATCCTTCTTTTTATATTACATTATCGTTATTTGCGTTTATGAGTGAGTCTAGATAGATAAATTCATATTTTATAGGTCGCAGCTATTAATTTCTTAACACCATTTATTAATGTGTTTTATTTATAAACATCTAAAGATTCGGAAGAAAGTGATACATATCGTTTTAAAATAGTGAAAGAAGTTAATTACTTGTAGTGAAAATATGGACACGAACCTATGAAAATAAAATCAAGAATAGCAAAGGGGGACACTAAGTATAAGGGACAAATATGATATTTAGAGAAAAAGAAGCAAAATGAATAAGAATAATTTTATAGACTCAAAAATACCTACAGTTATTAAAAGTTAAAGAATACTTGTGGTATACACAGAAACATCGATACTTGGAAAGAAAAAGCATTAGACTGAAGGAAATGGTAAGAAACTGTGAAAGAAGTGTATGGAAACATTATAGAATAAAATTGAATGTAATATTTATTAAAAGTAAAATTTAAATTAAAGGTCGATCTAGCTGCAAGGCCAGTTGAGCTGTATAAATCAATGTGGATATGTACAACAATCTAAAGACTGCTGTGTAGGTTTTTAAAAGAAGTCTGTTGAACTGTTACGATGAAGAATAAATTGATTTCTAATATTTAATAGGATTTAATATAATTATTTATAATATATAATTTTGATATATACTTTACTGCCTAAACAGGGGGAAGCCAATATTCTGTCTGATTTAGTTTAAAACATTAAATGCATATTTCTATAATTTTTACTCTGAATAGTACAAATCGACTTGGCAATGACTTTTAGTCTAAATAAAATTAATTTGCCAAAAATATATTTTCATTTAAGATGTTGCATGCAGTTATATAAT